GCTGTTCATCGCTATTGATCTGGAAGTGAATGTTCACAGTTGAAGATGGACATCCACAGACCCAAACAAAACAAAATAGACAATGAATGACATATGGGGGATATCTTGAACACCCATTGACACATTCCCCTTGAGGCAGTTTGTTGCATTCGCAGAGGACATCTGCTTTTGAGTTATGTTTGCGATTCTTGATGTCATTCCCGGCAATGTTCTTGAACACAGATTACACTTACGATCACCTCTTCCATCTTGTTGTCTACATAATTGTGAGTTCTGGCGGTAGCTTTGGTGTTTATGGTTCAGGTCTTAGGATTGGCAAATTCAGTCTCTGGCCTTCACTTGCATCTCCAATTCCATGAGTTGATTTATGGTTGACGTGTTCTGTACTCCTTGCTTTTCCCTCTTGTGCCCGTGTCTGATTCCCATTGTAGCACTTATCATGTGCTGCCTGTTCACATACAATCAGTGGTGAAGCACCTTACGAACATCTCTGTCCAGAGATTCTCTTCTCCAATCCCTCATCCCCAGTATGCCACCCCTTTCCGTTGGTTGCATAGTCACCAAACCACTCTTCTTACACAGGCGGAGCTGTGATATATCCTGGGCACATGTGCAACAACCAGAGGAGCCAGGCAGCAATAGAGGAACTTCGGATGAGAGACAAATAAAAACAAGAAGCGCCAGCACAGCTCCGCCTACACTTCTTGTTTTTATTTGTCTCTCATCCGAAGTTCCTCTATTGCTGCCTGGCTCCTCTGGTTGTTGCACATGTGCCCAGGATATATTTGTGACACAAATTTTAAGTACTTTCAAGGAGTACTTCAGGCATTGCTCCACTGCACAACACTCTGCATGCATTTGGATGCTTTCTGGACCGGACATATCCTGGGCACATGTGCAACAACCAGAGGAGCCAGGCAGCAATAGAGGAACTTCGGATGAGAGACAAATAAAAACAAGAAGCGCCAGCACAGCTCCGCCTRCRCTTCTTSTTTTTATTTGTCTCTCATCCGAAGTTCCTCTATTGCTGCCTGGCTCCTCTGGTTGTTGCACATGTGCCCAGGATATATTTGTGACACAAATTTTAAGTACTTTCAAGGAGTACTTCAGGCGTTGCTCCACTGCACAACACTCTGCATGCATTTGGATGCTTTCTGGACCGGACATATTCAAAACGTTGCACTCGTTCGGGTGCACCTGGTCCGGAGATCGTCCAAATGCATTTTGAGGTTTGTGTAGTCGAGCACAGCCCTTAGTTTGCCAATTTCTTTCGCCTTGTTACAGGATGTGAGTTGCCCAACTCTGGAGAGATGAAGAGACAATTGTTGTTATCTGTAGCTGCGACTTTCGGCGGCTCCTGCCCGCTTTGGAAGTATGTGTAGCTGCGACTCGCTAGGGTTCCTGTTGAATAAGTTACATAATGTCGTGGCAAGGACGAAGAGTGTGCACGAGATAAGATGAAAGTCGTGGATGTAAAATGGGGCAAAGATCTATGGATGCGAGAATAAGCCATTGCAGAAAGCTGCAGCGACGACAAAGAATGGACAAGAGTGAAGAGGATGCTGATCGATGTAAGGCAAATGGATGCCATCGTGTGGACAAAGCATTGCGGATGAAGTGATTAGTGGCTTGGAACGACAGAAATGAAGAGTTAGATTGACATGGTCTTACTGGGCAACGCAGGAGTTTTCCCAAGCAAGAATGCTGCTAATGCGCAGTCTAACAGAAAATGTGGAGTTCCCAAGTCCCATCAAGTAAAACATGGGCCGTGGTTTGACAACAAAACAGTATGGAGTTATCGAAACCTCGATAGCGGACGTTGATTTCCTTCTGAAGTATGAATCCCAACAATGAACAATTTGCAGTCCTCACCGTGCTGTATCTCGTGTGTTTGTTTTCATCTATACCGCCTGCAGAGGCTCCCTAGGGGTATTGCTAACATTAAAACTGCTCTCGTTACATGCTTGTTGTCTTTGCTGTATTTGTTGTCATCCGTTGCAAGTCTTGAATGCCTCGCTAGGGTCTTTACACCATGGAAACTGCTCGGTCAGCAGCAGAAAATTGAGCAACATTGTGCCTAGCGCAAACTATCGATCACTCCTTCGAGCAGTCAGTCTCCCTCTTCTCCAGCCTTAGCAAGGCACAATCTGGGTAGAGTGATGAATCGTATGACGAGAACGTTGCCCAATGAAATGATACCCTCGTGGTATTGTCGAGAGGAGTTGACAATACTGACATGATGGCAATGCTCATCTTGGTCTTTGTGCAGGGTAGTTTCTGGTATTTTTTCATATGTTGACGCAACAGTTGCTGCTGAGGACTTCACTAGGAACTGCCATCGCTTTTTCCCGACGGTCTATGATAAGGTTCTTGAGCTTATGCAGCTCCTGGTATGACCAACTCATTTTCCTATCATATTTTTCGGGACACTTAAGTGAGAGAATGTCCTGTCTCCAGTTCTCACATTCACCTCCCTAATGCAAGTGCTGCTGATCTCTCTCTCTGTTTCTCTCTCTCTCTCTCTGTTTCTCTCTCTCTCTCTCTCTCTCTCTCTCTCTCTCTCTCTCTCTCTCTCTC